CCCAAATAAAAACAGCAAATGGCTACAGGCATCTAAAAACACAAACAAATATGAATGGCCCACATCTACAGAAACAAACTAAGAACGAAAAGTACAGTCAAAAAAACTTATATTAACTAATGAAAAAGATAAAACGGGCTGGATCAAGAAGATGCATTCCCAGAAAGACGCATCAAATGGTCAATTACACCTTTAATTTACTTTGTATTTTGGGGGTTTGGCAGTGTACTGAAGTAGTTAAAATGATGATTGCTGGTTCAAGCATCAAACACATACTATACTGTATTGTTATTGTGTTTCTGGGCAAGACACATCCACATTTCCTATTTCATGTGAACAAAGATATAGGTTTGGTCTCAGCTTTGGTGGGGACATTATCAGCTAACCCATCCCCCCATATGTTTTATGAATTCTTTCCAAAAAGTCTGGGCAGGTCCAAAATAAAGTGAGAGGTGGTTTAATTTTTCAAATTGCAAAACCTTCTAAGATGCTTCTTTAGCGGATAACAGTGATGTAGAAGTTTAAAGCAGATTTCCCTTTGCTTGTTGGTGATGAGATATTTGTGAGGTCATGTCCGTACATTTTTCCATAGAATATTGTCAGCGCACGAGTAGGGCTCCGTTAAGAGGTGCACTTGTGGAGATAGTCGCTCTTTTTCAGTGGCAACTTATTATAAGGCAAGTTTAATTGAAGATGAAGCCGAGAAAGTTCCTTTTGAAAAGTTTGTTGCGCAGCGTCTTCACTCTCGCCTGCTCAAGTCGCCATCTTCAGGTGCGGCCCTGTCCTGCCACTTCCCCAGTTACAGCGGCATGAGTAACCCTGTCGTCATGTCAGTGAATACATCTCAGAACATCTTATAAACACAATGTGAACTAAAACGTGTTAAATTAATACTATTGAGTTTGGAAAAATATTGCAATAAATGTGTAGTAATAAATAGTATAGTTTTGTTTATTAAAATAAAATGGCAAATATTGGTAGTGACTATTTTGTATTCCCTAAATATTGTCCCTATGTAAACCTACGCCCTTGCATGTGAAAGGTTGCATAAGCAAGGAAAGGGCTGTTGTAAAAAATCCTTGTAAAACTTCACACACCACTGAATTTTATCTGTTTCTAACGTATGAGCGACATGGGACTTATCAATGGATTAATTAGTGAAATGGCCATAAAAGGAAAAAGAAAACTTATTATCTGTGGTGACAAAGAGCTGAAAGGAAAAGCTTGTTGTTTTTTAATGGAATAACAAAACTCTTGAGTAGTGACCTTGTGCTTTTGGGCAAAGCACTACACACACTGTCCACTGGAAGGTCTTTGACTATGAAAACCTCCCAAATCACCAAGATAGTTAAAAGAAACAGACCTTATAAAACCTTGCATTTCGTCGTATAGTCACCACCTTTATGATCCATCTGTCAAAGGTCTGGGCTCGAACTGGACTCTGGGGACCAACGTGATCCCAACCAAGACCCGGTCGAGTCCCAGCGGGCCCGAGCGGACCACTTTACCACCGCACCTGCATCACCGCTTCCAAGGTCTTTTTAAGCAGCCCCAATAAACCCATGAATGCATAATATTTTCCACAAGGACGTCCACAAGTGCTACGTCTGTACACACAAATTGGGACTGTCACCGTGATGTATGTTACTTTTACCAGATAGATTTCTCCACTTTTATGATTCTCGTGAAGCGTCTGATCCGCGATGGGAGAACAGGAGATACAAGGTTAGTCCAATGTCCCGCTTTACGTCCTATTTGAGAAGGCGTGGGCAAGTAGCGTAAAAGTATTTATGTGACAGATGTGGGTGACGCCGGTGACACGGGGCAGGAGAGAGAGAGGGAGCGGGGCTGTCCAGGCAAATGTCAGGGCAATTAAAGAGAAACAGGAAAGGTCAGACTACCGCCTCATGGAAAGTACATCATGTGGATTTGTCTCTCAAGGAAGAGAGTATATGGAGGAAATTGAAATTATGCAACACTGTATGACCAATCTGGGTTTCCTGGCAGGTTCCGGTTCTCCAATCATTGTGTATGTATTGGGAGTTATTGCTTTGTCTAGAATGTTTCACAGTATGGCATTAAACCATTTTATCCTCATAAGTGTTCCTCTCCCTACAGCTGGCACAAAGAGAGGGGTAGCCTGATTCATCAGCCGGTTTCTGACCTCGCAGCGTTAGAATTTGTTCGCTCGATGGTAGGCGAGTACTTTTTTTCATTTAACCATTCGCTGCTATTTGGTCATGATGTATGTAATGCGTCGCTAGTGGGGCTAACTGGTCTATTAAGCTTTTCCCAAATCCCGTAGGAAGAAGGACAATAATGTCTTTCCCCTTGATAAAATTTACCAAACATTCTCTTTGTTCCGGCTTTAAGTCCTCGAGCTCGGGAATCATTGACAACACTGAATGTATGTCTCTTTCTCGATTGGCTGGTACCCAAACTCTCACTTCGGGGGTTTTGCGAACCGTCTAGTGCAGGCATGTCCAAACTATGGCCCGGGGGCCAAATGCGGCATTTTTTTCTGGGCCCTCAGGCTTCCAGGTGAATTGGCCCAAATTACCTTGCATCAATTAAAAAATACTTTTTAAAAGTATTTTTGAAAATCTACTTTGATAAAGCCAATATTTAATATTTAGTGTTTGGTTTTAAGGATCTTAGCATGAGTAAAGATGATGGCTCATTCTAGCCATGTTAAACATGCACATATTTCAATTATTCACTGTACTGAGCACCAGTCTATGGCCCCCGATCGGCCCTCTGCTTCATCTGTGTTTAGATATGTGGCCCTTGATTAAAAAAGTTTGGACACCCCTGGTCTAGTGTATTCCGGTTCCTGACCTAGTCACTGGAGAGAAATGAAATTTAGCGGAGGCACTAGGTGGCACCAGCCTGGCTAAGAGACAGGACACTTACATGACTAAATATACATGTTTTTTATCAACATGTTTAGAGAGAAAACATACAGAATCTAGACTGCAGGTAATAAATAACAAATAACATTGTTTTCCTGCTTTAAAGTTGCACTATGTAACTTTTCTGAAGGATGGTATGCTGCCTGTTTGTCTCCATAGAGATGTTAATGTATTGTCAAGAATCTATGGGATCTATATGTAACCGCGCTGAACTTGGCCGTGCAAAAGCCCAGCTTGGCTGCAGGAATAACCCGTCTGTTTGTCTTTCGTTCATCGAATAGTTTGTCTGCATTGTGTTTTGAATAAATGGCCAGGATACGGTGCTTTTGTGGTTTTAATCTGCATGAAACTGAATATGTACTGGTGAGGATACCTCGGCTCAACACGGCGAGCAGCTCTACAAGGAGAGCAAGTCACATTAGCTTCTAAAAGTTAGCTTCACAACATGTGCAAAAGTTCATTACTGTGTAATAACTCATACTTTGCACAATATATCAACTCATAAATGCTCCGGATGGCATAAGTAAGTTGTACAGTTAGGCTGTGAGCATATAATGAGCAATTAAACAGAAATACATGATTTTTACCGACAGAGCTAAATTCAGTGACCTACCTCGTGCCCATCTCTCATGAACTGGCAACGTGCTCTCGGCGCCAGGGGCACTACCGGTCACCACAGGAGGGCGCTACTCAACCAAAGTATATTGGTCCAATAAATGTAATAACAAGTGGAATAAAATACTATGTATAATCACCGTTACATATATACTAGTACATGGAGATACGCGGATCACCTTGTGATGTCGTGGTAATACAAGAAGTGCTCCACAGGGGTTTTAAACTCCATACACCTTCACTAGAATCACTTGGATGATTTCAGCAGTAATTGCCAATCTTTACTGGAGAAAAGGTAAAAGGTAACTTGTAGACTGCTATGACATTACACTGGAGATGCTGATAGACTAATAATAAAGGATTAGTCAAAGATGTGTGAATGAAACAAAACACAACTCCTCGTACATTTTTGATGAGGTAACAGCATTAGAATATAACTTTGAGCTTACGAGAATCCATTTAAATTAATACAGGACTAAGAAAATCTATGTAATTTGTCAAACATTACCCTATAGACAATTACCCTATAGACAACCACAGATCACGCTCTACATTTCCCCTCTCTGTTTTTCCATTGCAGATCCATGGCCCTTAAACTTCCTGCTCCCGTTTGAATTATTGATAAAGTTTTATGAATGTGGTCGGTCAAACGCTCGGCTGGCTGACCACTACACCGAGCTATTTCTGACCCCGAGCCTCTTCTCTCCCTCTCTTCTCCTCCGGGCCTCGTCACCTTATCATCCCTCCTCTGTCCGCTGAGTGGGACCTGCATGGACTTTATCAGAGCAACCGTCGCATTCTTGGCTCAAAATACCAGGCCAACCAACAGACACAGATACAGCAGTTTTGAATCGTACTCGAGTAAAAGTACAGATGCGGTTCTAAATAATACGGAAATGGAAATATCTTTATGGGAATACCTAAAATCTTTCATTAGGTAAATTAAAGATATTTTTTATTGCTCAGAAATACTTTTAAAACATGCATTCCCATTGTCAGCGTGGCCACTTCTCCGCAGATCTGACCTGTAAATTGGCCTTGGCATTTGCTTGTTTCTTGGGAAATAGACAAGCTGAATGCAGTGCTGTAGGAAATTTCAGGCAAAACAAAGACATCTCCATGGAAACAAGCAGTTGGAGAAGTTACACAGTGCATCTTTAAAGCTGAAAATGGTTAAAGTTCGGATTTAAGTTAAAATTTGAATGAAGAAGTTGTGAAAGTGGGGCATGAGAATCCAACATATTTGCGTGTGGGTGTTTGATTTTGTTTTATTATTATTCAAAAAGTCACTTAAGTAATCTGACGGTTACTACCCGCCACTTCTGCCCACGACCATTTAAGGCAAGAGGAAGGACTGCTCCACTGACCCACAATGCATCTGGGTCCTATATATAAATCCACAACAAAGAACCCTGGTCCCATATGAAGCGTCGCACTAGTTTACACACCGTTTAGACTGAGGAATCTTTCATAATGTCTCTCTTGACTTCCAGAAGGTCCTCGTCCTCCTTCCGCTCCACAGCCCTGTACAGCAGCTCGTACAGGGCAGAGGACTCCATGGATCCCCTGTTTGGGACCTACATGGACTCCGCGGAGCACCCAAGTCTGTTCCTGGAGGAAGGACCCGGGGGACCCAAGTGTTCCTCTCCGTACAGCTGGCTCAACCGCTCCTCTTTTGGCAACTCAGGTAAGAGACAGGACGCCTACATGACTAAATATACATGTTTTGTATCAACATGTATGGAGAGGAAAGATACAAGATCTAGACTGCAGAAAATAGATAACAAATAACATCGTTTTCCTGGTTTAAAGTTGCACTATGTAACTTTTCTGGAGGATGGTATGCCATTTGTTTGTCTCGATGGAGATATTAATGCATTATCAAGAATGTACGGGATCTATACTAGTACAGAGGGGCCCGGTCAAGCAGAAGTAAACAGCAAGGCCAAAAATTCAAGTTAATGCATCTGATATAAAAATGTATTCAACAGATACATATGTACTCTAGTTTTGGTTCTAAAGTTCCATACGTTTTAAACAGACCATGTATGAAACATGGAACAAAAATTATTTCCCAAATTTCAAAGACCTGCAAATCATGTAAATAAATGGATGTATTTCATCATATCTTGTGTTATTCCATCTTTGAACTGTTGATGAAGGTACATGTGATTTTTCAAAAAAAAAAAATATTTTAAAATGATAAAAATTTGCTTGGAAGGACTGATATATTTTATAGAAATAGTTTCCTTTCATTTTGAAGTAATATTAAAGTATTTAGAAGAAAAAAGTTGACAAATTATGTAAAATCATGCACCTTCTACTTGCTTGCACAGTTTTCCCTCCGTTACTTTTCCCTCCGTTACCATGACCTTTTCTTAATAAAAAATACTCATTACTCAAAAGTAAGAGGTTTTTTCAACCTAATCATACCATATGGTAGAAAACTATATGAAGCAAATATTCAAACCAGTTTGTTAAGGATATGTAAGTGAGAACCAAGAGTTATCACTGTTTGTATTTATTGCCCAAAAAGTGCTGCATATTTCATTCCCTCCGTTACCGACATGAGTTTTTAAATTTTTTTGTCAACAACTTGAAAGAATATCACAGGTTTAACTTTACCCTGTTGGAGTGTAACTCTTTCCTACATTCTGATACTTTACTTATTTCAATAGTCCCTCTAGTTTCTGAATAAGAGACATTTGAATGTAAAAAATCTGCCCCTGTTTCCCTCCGTTACCACTTGACCGGACCCCTAGAGATAAGCAGATCAAGCCAATTGGCCAAGAAAGCATATTTTATGGTATTTTAAGAAAGGAAAAAATAAAATAAAAAATTTGACTAAAGTCTGTGTAATCCCTCAGTCAGTCCAGGTAGGGTCCATCACAAGAGAAGATTCAACTGGAGAAAACTGGAGAAATGTGAATACATTTCAGTACTCCTTCAAGTAGCTTCTCCAGTTCTGACAGGGCACTGTTAGACTTTGAATACACGCAAGATAGTTAAGTTTAATGCCATACTGTGGAACATTTCAGGCAAAGCAATAACATTTCCATAGAGATATGCTGGCGGTGGACACACAACCAGAAAAAGTTACAAAATGTAACTGTTAGGACACAATAATGTAGGGACCCAAAAAATGGACAGCAGACCAATAACAAAAATGAGAAGGAGAATTTATTTAACAAAAAGTAGGATGCAGGCTGGAGTGGGGCTGGACCAGGTAGATATCAGGCTGGAGAGCAGAGAAACAGATAAGTAAAAATATTCAGTTGAAAAAGTAGGTAGTAAAACCTCAGAAGTAGGAGCCAAAAGGTCCATCATGTGTAGGATGAAAACAATCTGGCAGAGATCTTGATTGTCAGCAGACGAGTCAAGTCATGACAACAATTATTATATTTTCACTAATCTACCAAAGTACAGTAATACTCAATACTGTTATCCTAATTATTCATTCAAGAGATTAAAACAGTCTGTATACTGTACTTTATAAATGTACTGTGGCAAATTGTGCTTGAAATATAGACTTTTAAATGTGCTTTTAAAACCGTTTGATCACCGCATCAGCAGTTACAGATTTGCAGATTGAGAGAAAACCCATTAGAATCAATCATTACATCGCCTTTATGCTTCATGTGCAGATTATAAATGAGCTGCTTCATGATACATACATCTGCAGATGCCCTCTAGACATTTCCTGTGTCAACCCATGTTTACATTACCATACATTCTCCTCCTTCATTGATCTTTCTCTCTCTGCTCCTCTCTTCCTCTCCCGCTCTTTCTCCCACTCTTTCTCCCTCCCCCCCTCTCCATTCTCTCTCTCTGTCACTCCCGTTCTCTCTCTCAGTTTCCCTGGGCAGTTCACTAATGGGACGTCCGAGCAGTATCAGCAGTCCAGGCGCAGCAGGAGGAGGAGGAGGAGGGGCGCGTTGCCGTGGAGACATGTACTTTGTATCGGTTGATGTCAGTCAGTTTGAGCCGCAGGACGTGGTCGTGATGGCGTACCACCAGCACGTCGTCATACAGGCCGCAAAGGTGAGGGAGGGGGAGGGGACAGGGGGCTGAAAGCATTTGAAACTGAAATTTGCACTATAATGTTGTTTCCTCATCACAAACAGACCTGGAGTTGTGTTTTGTTTCATTCATACATGAGCTTTGGAGATGTAGACAGATTAATAATAAAAGATTACTCAAATATGTGTAAATGAAACAAAACACAACTCCATGTCTGTTTTTGATGAGGTAGCAGCCTTAGAATATGGCTTAAAGCTTATAAGAGTCAGTCTTCATAATATAGGACCTTTAAACAAAATGAGTCAGTGGTGAATAATTAAAGAATACGATGCATTTTTTCAAGTATTTACAATTATACTATAACATATGTAGACCTAGATTTGACATTTTCTTCATTGTAAACCACAATAATGATCCAAAATGTCTTGGTGATTACAAAAACAGGTCCATTCACTCCCGATTTAACACCGCAGAACTGACAATCCACAAGCAGCTGATTAAAAAAAAAAATGTGTATGTTTTTTAAAGGTGTTATTATTTTAAAGGTGTTAGATTAAACCGATCTATCACAAGAGAGACAAGCAGGTTACAGCACTACACTACATTACAAGTCAGATCTGTGGAGAGTCGCCCCTGTTCACAAAAGGAATGATTGCATTTTTTGAGCAATAGAAACATGTTATGAATGGTAAATGGTCACATTTTTATACAGCGCTTTTCCACATTCACACTCAAAGCACTTTACAGCAAGGAACCACTCACCCATTCACACGCACACATTCACACACCAGTGTACGCAGACACTAGGGGCAAGATGGGTTAAGTGTCTTGCCCAAGGACACAACAACAGCATTCATCTGTGGGAGCTCAACCAATGATGTTTATGTTGAGAGCAGGATTCAAACCACCAACCTGTGGGTCAGTGGACAAACGCTCTACCAGCTGAACTACTGCCGCCCTGAATATAGTAAATGTCATATCATGGAACATTCCAAGCAAAGCATTCACATCTCCATGGAGACCAGTAGGTAGCAGAAGCTCCACATTGGGCAGTGCACCTCTAAGTCAGATTTTTTTATAGAGCAGTAAGAGGGGATAGATGGTGGGTGAAAACTGAACATTTCTGCCACACAATTGGGAAAAAAGGGATTTTTTTTTTTTTTACAGTGCTTACAAGAGTAAAGCAGACCATTGTTGATAAGTTAGTATATGATCGCTTAAGATTATTTTGGTTTTACAATGTGCATTATGTAACTTTTCAGATGGACGGCCCGTCATCTGCTTGTCTCCATGGAGATGGATATTATTGGCTGGTCTTAAATGTTCACAGTATGACATTAAACTTATCTTATGTAACTCTACAGAGACATACAGATGACAAAGCCAGGCCAAGTTACACATTGGGTTTAGTGGGTTGGAGTGGCGACCCTGCATGCTTTTCAAAGTGTTTTTGAACATTAAAAAATCTGTAATAAAAAATGCTATTGCATTATTATCAAACATTCAGACATCTCCACAGTATGGTATTAAACCTTTATCTTCATGGAGACCAAACCATACCAAGTTACAGGTCTGATCTGTGGAGAGACGACCCCCGCTCTCAGTCAAAATGCCTGTTTTTCTAGGAATTTTTGAGCTATAAAACCACATGTAACTGAAAAAAATGTAAGGTAGCGCTGTTTTAATGTCACACTTTGGACCATTCCAGGCAGAACAATGACATATCCATAGAAACAAGCAGGTGACTGACCCTCCACCAGAAAAGTTATACAATGCACCTTTAACCTTTTTAACCTCCCACATAATCTCACCAAACCCTTTCTGCATGTGGACAAACAAACATCTACCAACCTTTTCTCTTCCTCCCGCTTCCCCCTCGACATTCACTGCAGTGTTCTTCTCAGTTTGATGGTAATGAAACATAAAGGGTGGTGGTGGGAGCGGGGTCTGGTCTCAGGAGGGGTGCAGCGGCTTTTAATGGAGGTCAGAACACAAATTGGCTGAAGCCTTTGCCTTAAAGCCCTGTTACAGAGAGAAGTGTCTGCAGAGAGGCCCAGTCACTGCTCATTTAGTTCCACGCTGCACACGTCTTAGCTCTGGGCTGGATCGAGTCAACATGGCTCTCAGGCTGTGGTCAGGATAGAACCACTGGTACATGTGATGTTTTTTTCACCATATCCAGCAATATTTTTTAGTTTGGTTAAGTTATGCACTGAAAAAAATAATGTCTAGAGGTAGTAAAATATATTAAATCAACTGGGGTAATTTTTACACTGAAATAACATAATTTTATGAAAACTACAACTTATTTAATAGCAATGGACAAAATGTACTTATTTTACTCAGTATTACGAAGTATTGTGTTTAATAAATAAGCTCTACTATATATATGGGTACTATATGGGTTTTACAGTCGTCACTCACAAACCCAGAAATACTAAGTAACACCAAAGTCCTTCTAGACTCTTCCAGATCTAGTCCTGATACAAAGGTTGGTAGTTAAAATCCCGGTCTCGACGTAAAAAAAAAAAAGAAAAACACCAGTGGGAGACCAGTCAAATCCACTGACCCACAGGTTGGCGTTCTCCCACAGATGAATGCTGTTGTTGTGTCCTTGAGCAAGACACTTCACCCACCTCGCCCCAAGTGTCTGTATACACTGAATGTGTGTATGAATGGGTGAGTGGTTCCTTGCTTGTAAAGTGCTTTGGGCCTTGAAGGTGGAAAAGCGCTGTAAAAAAAATATGACCATTTATTATACATCAATAAATACTAGACATATAAAATTTACATAATTATTTCATCACAGCATTACAATTAATTATGACAGTGTTTTATATATTTTACTTGAGTTCTGACAGTTACTCAGAAGTTCTAACCCTTCTGTTAATGGTGGTGGTAAGTACAACATTTTATTTCATACTGATGTAATGATATAAATTGTACCTGATTTTACAGCAATAAAATTTACTTGAAAAGTGCTAGTGCAAATTTTTATGAGGATTTTTTTTCTAGTAAATCTTACAAGTTTTTTTTTTTTTTTTTTTTTTTTTTTCAGTGTGGTACAGACTTGGTTTCATGTAGTTTAAAGAGCCCATATTACACTATTTTCTGACACACAAATCAGAAAGTGACACACAAATTACACACAAATCTTACATGACTGGGTTCTTCTCTCAAATTGAAAACACTCTGTTGCACCTTGTGATGTCATGTGGCAATACAGGAGGTGCTCCACTCTGTTTTCAAACTCCATTTCAGATCTGGAAATTACAATCTCTACTGAACTAAAGATTAAAAAAAAAAAAAAAAAAAGCTGTTAAAACTAAAACTAAAGGTTCATGATATCACAAAGTGGAACAGAGCATTATGAGTTTTGGAGATGCAGACAGACTCATAATAAAGGATTACTCAAACCTGAATGAATGAAACAGAACACTACTTCTTGTTTTTGAGGAGGTAACAACATTCTAACATGACTTAAAGCTCACAAGTGTCAATTTTCGGCAATATAGGACCTTTAAATCACATGGTTTGGTCTAATTTTCATGCACTATGTAATTTTTACTGGTAAAGTCATCACCTGCTTGGAGATTTTAAGGCACAAAACAAATATTTTTAAGACAGACAGTTACAGATCATATTTGTCTAGCGGATATTTGCAAATTTTGAGCAATAAAAGGATAGTTTAATGATAGTTTAACCCACTGAGACAAGAGTTGCAATTTATCTCTTTATTTTCTTTGTTAAGCAGAGATGTAGTTGGTTTAAGTTCACATTACTGGAGGGGTTTACTTTAAAAACAAGCAATGCTATAGATGTCTTTTAATGGCTTTCCTCTGCACTTTGTCTCGCTGTCCTTCAGGTTTTGGATGACGGCAGAGTGGGTGACACATTTACCCATAAGTCCCTGCTCCCGGAGGACATGGACCCCCTGTCTGTGAGCGGGACGGTGGGCTCGGACGGACTGTTGGTCGTCAGCGTCAGTAGAAAGTGCTCTCTGCAAATGGAGCCTCCCGGGCCCTGTTCACCACAAGGAGACTGACCTTTGACCTTTGCCGTACTTCACTATCTGTGTCTGAAGATGAGGGTGCATTAACTTTTATTAACTTGAAGGGTTTTCCACTTTGAAATAATGGAATCAATGAAAGGTGAAAAGTTTTATTTCAGTTTATTTGTACTTTGTATTAACTATATCCCAATGGAGTAAGCAGACATCACTTAAAGGAGCATTGTGTAACTTTTTGGAGGCTCCAGCAAATACTTTTCTCCATAGAGATGTTATTACTTTGTCTGGATGTTTCACAGTATGGCATTAAACCTTTCGATCTCCATGAAGACCAAACCGACCATGTTACAGGTTGGGTCTGTGGAGAGGTGACCTTGCTCACAGGCAGAATTTTAGATATTTTTTGGCATTTTTGAGACATAAAACCACTTGTAATTGAATAAATGTAAGGTAGAGCTGTTTAATGTCATACTGTGGAACATTTCAGGCAGTGACATCTCCATAGAAACAAGCAGGTGATGGACCCTCAACCAAAAAGTTATATACTGCCCCTTTAACTTAATTTAAAAAGTGTAAACTCTTCTCAAAACAAGGAAACTACTCTTAATTCAAATAATCTGCAATTTTTCAGTATAAACATAAATGTAAAGGTGCACTGCGTAGCTTTCTCATGAAGTGAAGACACAAGGCCATGTTACAAGTCAGATCTGTGGAGAAATTTTTAAAAAGTAAAATAAATGCAAGATGCTTTTGAAGGACATGTACAGTCGGCCCTCACTATAACACGGTTCACCTTTTGTGGCCTCGCTGTTTCGCGGATTTGCTTTTTTTTTTACAGTGTATGAACGCACATTGAGTTCTTCCCCCTGCGTCCTGATTGGCTAAGGGACTGTAGACCCTTGTCAATCAATCTCCTCCATGCCATGTCTCTTGTACAGTACAGAATGCGTTCAGCTCACCAAATTTACATAAATGTTGGATCTGTATCTTGTGTCTGGGAGGAAGTAAATACTTATTTAATCCCACCCCTTTTTTCTACTGTCCCAAATTAACTAAGAACATATAGACTTCTCATTTCCTGTACAATATAAGCTAGAATTCACAGTACCCATATTTCAGTGTGATTCTGAAGTGCTGTATGTTTGCAAGTTTTCTCCCCGACAAAACCCACAATGTCGACGAAACGTTCTGCACCGACAAAGGCTCCTGCGGTCGCACCCAAAAGGCAGAGGAAGATGCAAACCATCGCACAAAAAGTTGGACTTCTGGACATGCTGAAGGAAGGTAGAAGTTTGCTGTAGCGCATTACCGAATAAAATAATTTTCAGTTCGTTACAGAAAGAAGGAGGTAAATAACATAAGGACGACAGCAGCGATAAGTTTTAAAAAGGATACAAAAAGGTTGTGAGGCTGTGTGAGAAAAGTGTATAAAGTGTGTGGTGAGGGGTTTTACAGCCTTAAAACAGATATAATAACTGTAAAAATTAAAGCTGACTAATTCACGGATTTCGCTTGTTGGGGGTTATTTTTAGAACGTAACCAGCGCAATAAACTGTATCCGATTTTTCCCATGTATCTGAGTAAAATCTGTCTTATCCCTAGTACAGATTTATCATATAAGCAGCTCTTGAGATCAAAATAAATCAGTTACACAGCATTTTATGACACTGCAATCAGGAAGTGCACTTTAGCATGCTAGTTGTTAGGTTTACAGTCACAGCAAAACTCCGTGAAGATCAGCTTGTTGTGTAGACTTAACCAGAAAAGTTACACAGTGCACATTTGAGTAAGAGAATGCAAATGCTCTTTTTTTTTTTTTTTTTTTTTTGTAATTTGTGTGCTGAAAATATAAGTGGATTTTCTTAATTTTGTACTCTTTTTTTTTTTCTAAATAAAAATTAAATTGCGCACTACGACCTTTGGCATTTTGTTGTTGTCAAACCCTGTCCAGTTTCAGATGTGTAACCCACTTCCCTCCGGTGAGCAAAATAGCGTGGCTGATTCATTTGTATTATAACTCTGTATTATTATAAACACCTCTATAACTCCCCAGTGGGACGGGGGGAGCACATGTGTTACAAAGAGTATAAACTGTGTAAAAACAGCTGAAGCGTAAATCAGACACAACACTGTCTCTCCGGGGAGGCCCCAGCTCCACACAGCTCCAGAGGGACAGAGCAGTCTACTTACCCACTGAACTTTACTCTCAACACACTCTTATTATTACATCCTGGACACATGATTCTCATACTCAGGGATTCATGTTGGTGACTGGAGACAGGCACAAAAGAAAATACAAAGAATAAATAAAGACAAACATTTTAGCTGAAATACACAGTTGAAGATGGACTGTGTAACGTTTTGGTTGGGGTTTGTAACCTGCTTGTTTCTATAGGCGAGTTTCAGCTGACGTCATTATTATTAAAAGCCCGCGTTGCATGCTGGGAAATATTTTGGTCGGAGGCAAGAAACACGATAGCGTACAAACACAGTGTGTAACCTCGTGTATTTATCCCCGATAATGGTAAATTCCTGCTGCATTATCAGATGCACAAATAGAAGCACGGAAGAAGGAAAATGTCTTTTTCGTATTCCAAGTGAAAAGAACGTCCCGACTGGGGACGTTGTCCAGCGGTGGAAGGAATACTTTGAGGATCTCCTCAATCCCACCGTCACGTCTTCCGAGGAGGAGGCCGAGGCTGGGGACTCGGAGGTGGACTCATCCATCACCCTGGCTGAAGTCACTGAGGTGGTTGGCAAGCTCCTTGGTGGCAAGGCTCCGGGGTTGGATGAGATCCGTCCTGAGTACCTTAAGTCTCTGGATGTTGTGGGGCTGTCTTGGCTGACACGCCTCTTCAACATCGCGTGGCGGTCGGGAACAGTACCTCTGGACTGGCAAACCGGGGTGGCGGTCACTCTGTATAAGAAGGGGGACCGGAGGGTGTGTTCCAATTACAGGGGAATCACACTCCTCAGCCTTCCCGGTAAGGTCTATGCCAGGGTACTGGAGAGGAGAATCCGGCGATAGTCGAACTCGTCCGGTGTCCATGGGGTGAGTATGGGGTCAAGGGCTGTCCGGTCCCTGTATGACCTGAGCAGGAGCTGTGTTCGCATTGCGGCAGTAAGTCAGACCTGTTCCCGGTGCATGTTGGACTCCGCCAGGGCTGCCCTTTGTCACCGGTTCTGTTCATTGTATTTATGGACAGAATTTCTAGGCGCAGTCAGGGGCCGGAGGGGGTCTGGTTTGGGGACCACAGGATCTCATCTCTGCTGTTTGCGGATGATGTTGTCCTGTTGGCTTCATCGAACCAGGACCTGCAATGTGCACTGGGCGGTTTGCAGCCGAGTGTGAAGCGGCTGGGATGAGGATCAGCTTCTTCCAAGTCCGAGGCCATGGTTCTCGACTGGAAAAAGGTGGCTTGCCCTCTCCGGGTGGGTGGGGAGTCTTTGCCTCAAGTGGAGGAGTTCAAGTACACGGGGTCTTGTTCACGAGTGAGGGAAGGACGGAACGTGAGATTGACAGGCGGATCAGTGCAGCTTCGGCAGTGATGCGGTCGCTGTATCGGACCTTTGTGGTGAAGAGGGAGCTGAGCCGAAAGGCGAAGCTCTCGATTTACCGGTCAGTCTTCGTTCCTACTCTCACCTATGGTCATGAGCTCTGGGTAGTGACCGAAAGGACGAGATCACGGATACAAGCGCTTGAAATGGGTTTCCTCCGCAGGGTGGCTGGGCGCTCCCTTAGAGATAGGGTGAGGAGCTCAGTCACACGGGAGGAGTTTGGAGTAGAGCCGCTGCTCCTCCACGTCGAGAGGAGCCAGTTGAGGTGGCTCGGGCATCTGTTTCGGATGCCTCCTGGGCGCCTCCCTCAGGAGGTGTTCCGGGCATGTCCCACCGGGAGGAGGCCCCGGGGAAGACCCAGGACACGCTGGAGGGACTATGTCTCTCGGCTGGCCTGGGAACGCCTCGGGGTCCCCCCGGAGGAGCTGGAGGACGTGTCTGGGGTGAAGGAAGTCTGGGAGTTTCTGCTTAGGCTGCTCCCCCCCGCGACCCGGCCCCGGATAAGCGGACAAAAATGGATGGATGGATGGAAGTGAAAAGAACCGCTAACGGTGAATTAAATGTCTTTCAAACATCCACAGAGCAAACGTAGAAGATCCTAGCAAACTGTGGACTCCAACAAGTTCAACAACACACTGAGACTCTTGGAGGTTTTCATCTTTTCTCCTGTGAATGGCCCAGGAGTTTCCACCAAGTCATTGTGGATATCGCCCAAGTGAATATTTGGCCAGGTAGTTGGTGATTCCGACCATAAATTTGGTTTGGTCCAGGCTTTGTAGGGGTTATAAAGGGTGATTTGGCTCCATCGATGCTTATGACCAATTTCTGGTCAAACCATCTTCGATCCTCTGCCGTTAGAGTGGATCAATAACCAGGATCAATACCCTTTACGTGCTTTCTCGCTCCATCCATCATGTTGAATTAGTGTTTATTGCCGCCGACCAAAATAATTCCCAGCATGCAACGCACGCTTTTGTCAACAATGAAACTCACCTATAGATCATATATTCTATAGATCATCATATAGATAGTAATTGCACATACGTCTGGAATGTTCTACAGCAGCAGTCCCCAAATCCTGGGCTTTGGACCAGTACCATTCTGTGGGTTGTTTGGTACCGGTCCACACAGAAAGAATAAATAACTTACATGATTTCCATTTTATTTATGAGTCTGAACAATATTTTGTTTTGAAAAACATCAGGATGCTTATCTCGATCACATGACACATTAACATTAAATGAGTAAAAAACAGACGTCTTTGGAAAAGTTTATTATTATATTTACAAAATACAACCGTTTTTGTGTTGGTCGTATCATTTTATTTTGTCATATTTATCCATCACACCTTATAGGCTGGTTCTTGAAAATATTGTCTGACATTAAAACGGTCCGTGGCATAAAAAAGGTTGAGGACCTCTGTTCTACAGTATAATATTAAATGGATCTATGTTACATTTATTCAGGTGCAGATGGTT